AAGCCCTGCGTAGGTTGATATATTGTTTGTTGAAGAAGCCAGGTATCATGGTTTATGTCTGTGTCCCCCAGGCCTCATTTGTGATTGGTTCATTGTCTAGTGCTTGGATTGATGGTGTCAGTGCTATACCCACATAGGGGTGGAGCCAGGATGTGATGTTAATGGCAGGAAGAAGGTGTGTCTTGCTCTTTGCTACTTCCTGTTGCTGTTTGTGGCTGCCACGAACTGCAACCCAGCCATGTCTGCCTGTCTTGGAGCCATCTGAGTGTGGACTGAAACCTCCAAAAACTGTAAGAGATAAACTTTCCTTTCCAAACTTGGGCTTCAGGTATTTGGTCTCAGCAGTGAGCATAAAGTAACTAAGACAAAATTTGGTACCAAGAAGTGGGGTCATTTGCTGTGACTATACCTGGCCATGTTTTTCAAGAAGCTTTTGAAATGGTTTATGGGCAGAGTTTGGAATGGCTCGGACATGTCGCCTGGATGCATAGAGCTGGAGCAGCTTAGGCTGTTCTATAGATGAGATTCTGGTCAGAGCTTAGGAGACCAGAAGGCTGATAGAAAGCCTGATGGTAAAGACCAGGCTTGGGAGGTTTCTGCTGGGAAGGACTGCATTGGTCGTTGGACTCCACATGATGTGTGTTATGGCTTGGCAGAAAGTTTGTCTGCATTTTGTTCCTGCCCAGAGACTTTGCCTGAGACTGAGACAAAGGGCAGTGGAATGATTAATCTTGAAAAAGAAATTAAAAAGCAGTTGAACATTGAGGCTGTGGCATGGCTATTGTTGGGGGCTTTTAGCCAGTTTTATGCAAATCAAGAGATAAGAGCCCAGCAGGATAATTTAAAATGCTGTGAATTTGGCCAGAAAGAAAATTCCAGGAAGGCTGTGGATTGTAAAGACAGAGTTGAGATTTTGATTGTTGATGGGAAACAGAGACATAAGAAAGATGGCCCCGGGGCATCCCAAAAAGCGGGTCCCCACCCTTTGCAGCCTTAAGACAAATGTGAAATAGTTTGCTCAGAGAAAAATAATTTGCTCAGAGAAAAAAGCTACCGAGTGCCATGCTCCAGAATGGCGACAGATACCAGTGAGGTTCCAGAATGGCGACAGAGGCCACATGAGTTTCCAGAATGGTGGCAACACAGAAAAGCTTTTCATCACAATCAGGTAAACAGAGCCCTGCGATCCAGGCAACTGACCCCTACAGCCAAGAGAGAGAAAAGCCTGGCTACTGGTTCAGCTAGCAGCAAACCTTGGTGGCATCCACAAGGTGCTGATTTTAGGTGCAAGTTAAATGCACAAATTCTGAGGGTAAGACAGCTTCCACCTCGATTGCAAAGGGCCTGGCTGGCCAAGCAGTGTGCCCCTGAGAGGGCAGTTTGTGAAGATGTAAGTGTGAAGCCAAAGATACAGTGGAGACCCCAGAAGTTTGGAAAATCCAGGAATGTGGATGATCCAAGGAAGGCTGCAAAAAGCAAGCAGAGAAGAGTGAAGAAAAAAGCTGCAGGAGTTGAAATTGCCAGAAGTGCCATGGGGGTGGAATCACCCAAGCCTTTTGGAGCTTGCAACTAGATTGCTTCAGATGCTGAGTGGTAAAATTCTAGCACTTAATGTTTGTCCTGCTGGATGTTGGACTTGCTTTGTTTCCAATGCTTTATATTCTCCTGTTTATAACTTTTGGAATGGTAATGTTTATCTTGTGCCTTTGCATTTCAGAAATGTTTAACCTCGTTTCATTTGTACAGGGGGTTACAGTTAAGAGTTTGCCATAGATCTTGGAGGAGACTTGGGACTTGGACTATTCAGCAATGTTGAAACTGTTAGGACTTTGGCAACTCTTGGAGGTGGACTAAATGTCTTTTGTATAAAGGATGTACATGAGTCCTGGGGACAAGGGGTGGAGTGTCATGGTTTATGTCTGTGTCCCCCAGGCCTCATGAGTTTGCATTGTGCATTTGTGATTGGTTCATTGTCTAGTGCTTGGATTGATGGTGTCAGTGCTACACCCACATAGGGGTGGAGCCAGGATGTGATGTAATGGCAGGAAGAAGGTGTGTCTTGCTCTTTGCTAGTTCCTGTTGCTGTTTGTGGCTGCCATGAACTGCAGCCCAGCCATGCCCACCTGTAATGGAGCCAACTGAGTGTGGACTGAAACCTCCAAAAACTGTAAGAAATAAACCTTTCCTTTCCCAACTTGGGCTTCAGGTATTTGGTCTCAGCAAGGAGCATAAAGTAACTAAGACACCAAGTATAAAGAATGTTAGAAAAATTGGTTAATGTTGAAATGCGTGAAGTTTTTATGAGGTATCCTATTAATAGTTCTTATTTTTTTTTCTTGAGCCTTGTAAACTGCTACCTATCTTATTAAATAGTGCTCATTAATCTGGACCATGAGGTACTACTGTTGTGTGTCTTAAAGGCAGATGTGTGGATTTCTTTACTGTGGCATGGTATGTATTAGGGTCAGGAGGAAGTTTTGACTCAAAACCTATTTTTTTTTAGATTATCTATTAATTTATAGTTAGACTTCTGCAAATAGATCTGAAGGATGAAGAAGCATTCTCTGTATCCGAATTTTACTGTATAGGTAGCAAGATAAGGTATTGTTTTATGTTCCTTAGTGTTATTTACTTTTTATTTTGCTTTCTGACTGTTTAGCACCTTTTAAGACTTTATCTATGAATATCATTTTAGTCTCATGAACCCTACTTTTTTGCACCAAGGTGGTTTGCCTTTCTCAGAGGTCAGATATAGTCATGTCATCTGTAGTTTGCCTGTGTAGTGCATCTGTGGGAGCCTGCTGTGCAAAGCTAGCTGCTGGAGAAACGGTGCTCAGGCTGGAGCTCACTTTCCTATATTTTCTCCACTGGGCTCCTTCCCTTCCTTCGTGAGGCACAATTACTGTTAACAATACTGTCCTTGTGTGTCTTTCCAAACTTTGCTTTATAAGCATACACTGATATTATCCATAAATTAAATTTTTTGTGGTACTAGGATTGAACCTGGGACCTTTGCAGTGAGCTATGTCTCTAACATATTTTCTTTTTCATTTTGAGACAGGGTCTTGTTCAAGCACTAAATTGCCCAGGCTGGGCTTGAACTTTTGATCCTACCTCCTTAGCTTCCCAGTGTGCTTGAATTATAGATGTGTATGACCATATCCATCCATAAACTATTTAAAAATTATATTCAGGATGATTTTTTACAGACACAGATATTGAGAACATTTGATATTTATTTTTCCTGTTCCATGAATTATCTATTATATCTTTTGCTTATGTTTTAGCTTTTAAAAAGAATTACTTTTATTTTTTTTCCCCCTGTAAGAATATTGGCCAGGTGTGGTGGCACATGCCTATAATTCCAGCACTTGGAAGGGGGAGGCAGGAAGATTGCTCTAAGTTAGAGGTCATCCTGGGCTACATATTAGCTCTTATGAGCGATCGGCCATATTGATTATACTTTGCCTCTGATTTTTCTTTAAAAATACCTCCCTATATAGTTCAGACTGACCTTGAACTCATTATATACTCCAAACTAACCTCAAACTTATGGTGCTCCTTTGGCTTTAACTTCATAGGTGTTGAGGTTACAGACATGCACAACCATTTTTCTGTTTCTTCATACAGGGTTGTTTTTAGTTTTGGTTTTGTTTTGATAGGGTCTTGCTTTGTTGCCCAGGATAGGTTCAAACTCTGTTCAAGAGATCCTTCTGACTCAGCCTTCTGAGTAGCTGAGACTACAGGCATATGTTGCTGTACCTAGCACAAATGCAAACATTTTAATATATACTTAGCAGTCAGTCACAGAGTGTTCCTTAACTCTTAGATTTTTTTTCCTCTGCATGTGTTTTGCATGTTCAAGTAATCTGCCCGTTGTTATACAGCTGGCAAGCCCATCCATTTGGTTCGAGCACATTCCCATGCCCAGGACTAGCGTCTTACACAACCTTCACACATGCAGAGCCTTAGGTCATCTGAGTTTGTTTTTGAAACTCAGTAGCAGACCACCTGCCTGGTACCTTTGTGTTTGGATGAGTATTCTCCTGGACATAAAGACTGAATTAAACCTCCTGTAAGAAAGAATACTCTCAACATTCCCCTTTTGTAAACAGTAAGCAGTTGTTGAGCCATCTCCTCCTAAGATATCATACTTCTAGCGACACTGTTGTGATTGAGAGAGCAGGCATCAGAATCAAATGCTGGCTCTGCTGCTTACTAGCTGTATGCCGAGAACACGTTACCCAACTGCTTTATTTCTTAGTTTCCTCATCTGTGAAAAAAATTAAAGAACCAATGTCTTTGGTTTGCAGTAACAGTGAGCTCAGGAAATGCAGCTGAAGTGTTTATAATAGAGCCTATTACTACTGGGTTAGTGAGTGTTACGTTAAAACATGGGTTTGCTTCCTACTTTAAGAGACAACACATGAATAGTGCTTGTCTTCCTGTCTATTGCCTACAAACTTTAGGCAGTCCTTAGCTAATTACCATATGTAATTAAATCTTTCTTCTTTCACAGAGGCTGAAACGAGATTGACAAGCAGTGTTGAGGTCATTGGAGATTTGGATAGTTGTAGTCTATTGAGTCATTTTGTTTTTGTCATACTCAGCATCTCAGCTCTCAGAGGAGATGAGTAGTACCTAGGTGAGCCTAGGATTTAGGGCCTTGTGTGGGGCAGGAGGGCTAGCAGAATAACGGGTAAGTACTAAGCTAAAGAGATCAGTTGAGCTGATGTAATGTGGGGCCTGTGTTAGGGAAGGAAATGATGGTAGCAAGAAAAAGAAGGGAGGAATTGAGAGAAAACTCAAAACTGATAGGTTGAGATAATTATGTTTCTCTGAGAATTCTTCCAATTTTGAAATCTCTTCCCTCTAAAGCCCTCAAACAATTGCACTAACCTATGAGAAGCCTGGAGTAATTCAGGAACTGAACATGTAAACATGTTTCCCTCTTTTTAGAGTAGAATTGACAACCAGTAATCAACAATAAATAGAACAAATCATAGTGATAGAAATTTATTTTCCAACTTAATTTTCAAATTTTTCTTAATAGCATCTTAATTCATAAATTAATTTGGACACTTTTTACACTTCATTCCATTTGTGGCAATATTTTGATGATTTGGCTAAGGCTACATTAATCTTTCTCAGTCATGTAGAATCTAGTTAGGCCTTTTGGTTTCTCATGGGCAGAGCATAAAGTGCTTGACAAAATTTGATCTGACAGCTTTACACTTATATAACATAGAACAGAAGCTTAAAAACAAACAAAAAAACAGAAAGAATTGAAGGATTTATCTTAACCTATATCTTAACCACTTCACTTGTCTCTTTAAACTGGAGCAGAACCATCATAACCCTAGTTGTTATGTAGCCTTAGATTTAGCAGGACTTTGAACAAACGCATGAGAAGCTTTTGGAGGTGAAAAGGTTTTAGGATTATCTTGTCTGACTGAATCACATTACCAGTGGGCACACCCAAGCCTGAAGAGAGGAAGTGCAGTACTTCCCTGGAAAAGCTAAAGAGGGGGTGGAACTGACCTGGGAACCAGGGTCACAGAAATTCAATTCCAGTGCTCTTTCTGGTACAATATGGAATAAACCAAGAACGGGTTATGATTTTACAAACGTAAATTTTGTATAACCACGATGTAATCCACTGATACTTGATTTTGCATATGGAATAAAAATAATTACATTGGAAGGTATAGCTGATTGCCTGGGTTCAGTTCTTCTGACCCTGCTAGTGGTGCGATGTGGTCAGGTCTCTTGAACCTCAAAGCTTTCTTGCTTCACTGATTAAGTAGGACTAATAGAAATGCTTGTCATATGTCAGATCCTGGCATATGGACACTTCAGTAAATGTTACCTGCTACTGCTAATCATTTAAAATTAATGAAAATTAGCATTCAGAGTGACTGTAGCAAAGTAAGGAATTTAATTAAGGACAGGTTGGTATGTGTGTGTGTAGGCTTCTGGAATTAGGGAAATAATTTATAATTTTTTTGTATTAAGAGTGGTGATGAATAGTGTTTTTATTTATTTTATTAGTTTTTTGGTTTTGGTGATTAAACTCAGGATTACATGCCTGCTAGACAGGCACTGTGCCATATCTCTGGCCCTGTTTGTTAATTTTTATTTTATCTTACTTTGTTTTGTTTGGTGTCATGACATGTTATGTTATGTTATTTTGAGACAGGGTCTTGCTTTGTAGCTCAGACTGGCCTTGAACTCCTGACTAGACTCCTGCCTCGGCCTCTATGGAACATTAGAATTACAGGTGTGTTCTTCCATGCCTGGCTGGGGTTTTTTTTGTAGTTGTTTTTTAAATTGTGTTTAGAAATCACAGCTTCTCTTTTTTTCTGGTTCTCTTTTGTGTGCAGATTTGAAGACCTAAGTAGTCACATGGAAACAGGATTGTTTTGCATTTGAATAACATTTTTGTATATTAAAAAATAACCTTCGACTAACAATAAAAAGTTATTTTTCTGTCCAGAAGTTTTAGGCACAAAGGGTAAGGAGTCCTGTTGCAAGCTGCAGTTTCCTTCCACTGGCCTGAGTAGGAGGCTTTGTGACAACAATCCCTCAGTGCAAGTTGCACTTTCTCCTGCGCTGATATCTGATAGTGAATTAGGTGCTTTTAGGTCAGACTCATGAACATTTATTTATTTATTTACTTCTTTATTTTTGATACTGGGATCGAACTCTCATATGAACATTTAAATAATGATAGGAATTTTAATGTTAGGAAAATATATAACCTAATCTGTCTAATCTAATAGAAACTTGTAGTTTAGGTCTAAATAGTTCCCTGGGCCACTGAGCAGCTTCCACGGCCCTGTCCCAAAACATAAAAAGGCTGGTGGCTGCAGCTGTGGCTTCAGTCCTCAGTACCAAACAAGAACATGGAACACAATGGGGAGCAAGAAAGCAAAAGAAGAAATAAACAAGCAAAGCCTTTGGAATACGCCTGCGTTTTTACCTGATGCCACAGGTAATTCTCTTTTGACCCAGGAATTCACAAAATGTTCTCCCTGAGGAAAAATAAATATATATTACTAATTGTTTAGCTTAGTTGATACACACCTATCTAGGAATAAGACCTGAAACCATTCTTCTCCTGCCATGAACAGTTTCGTTAGGCAGAATAGCAGAGTTGTTAAAGAAGCATATCCTTAATTGAATTAGGGAATTTTTAAAATTTTTTGAACTGGAAGTTGAACCCAGGCCTTTGCATTGAGTTATCTCCCTTCCCCTTTTTAAAATTTTAAGACAAAGTTTCACTAAATTGTTAAATTTCTAGGCTAGGCTCAACTTTTGATCCTCCTGCCTCAGCCTTCCAGAGCGCTGGGATTACAAATGCATGGCACCCAGCTAGAAAATGTTTTTAATGCAGTTTAAAACAACAGCAGTGAAATGTTTACCCGAACTCAGGAGGAAACTTCCTGAAGGCCCCTTTCACAGCTTACAAACAGAACTGCGTTTGATACCACAGAATTTTGATTAAGAAAGATCTAACAAGGAAAGTGAACTCAGAAGAGTTATATACTGAGCAACTAATCCCTCTGAGATAACTGCACCCAGATTTCTTCCTCCTCTACTTTTCATGCATGTTGTTGTTTTGTTCTATTTTTTTTTTTTTTTTTTTTTGAGACAGGGTCTCAAGTCCAAGCTGGCCTTGAATTCACTATATAGCACAGGCTGACCTCAAATAGCGATCCTTCTGCCTCAGTCTGCTGAGTGCCGGGATTCCAGGCATGTGCCACCATGCTTGGCATTCAGCCCATACTCTTTACAGGGTTTTGGTCTTCTAATTCACATAGCCAATAAATCTTTGTAGTTTTAGCCAGTTTGACCTGGGTTTCTGCTCACTTCCTGTAACCCTGACTGCTGCAGGTTAAAGTCCCAGCAGGAGCCCTCAGTGGTAGTGATGCCAGGCCAGGGCACCTTACTAGCAGCAGAGGTGCCAGGAGCATGGCCTCAGCTGCAGAGTGATGATCAGAAGGACAGGCAGAGGTGTCAAAGGTCAGCTTTCTCCAGTCCCTAGAAAAGGGACTGCTAAGTGCTCTGGAGTAGCAAAAGGATGTAAAAGATCATTTTCTTTTCTTTAACTACTCTGCAGATGAAAGGCAGAAGAATCCAAAGAGAAAGGAAAGAAGAAAAAACTCACAACATAAAAAGAATGCCTCTCCACTTGGGATTCAGGTACTAGGCAATCAAAAAAGACAGACTGAGGAAATAATTCTCATTTATGTTACCGTCACGCCAACAAATCCCTGGTAGCTTTGAATATACTGAGCAGTTTCCTCTGAGGACTTCTTTGAAGAAATTCACATCTGTAATTTAAAATGTAATTAAACTTTACACTGTGACATAAATGTTGTGGATTACATTAAACATAATGAACATGTTGAAGTCACCCTTCTATAAAACTGTCAAAATGTTTTACCACTAAACCTACTTTGAGAACTGTCACTGTTTTGATGAGAGTTACTATTCTTATCAGCAATAACATGTGTGATTATTTAAAAGTAAATCTGAAGATTATCTCCCCCCCAACTCACAAAACCAACCTATAATATCTATTGTTTCATAATTTATTCTACAGATTTTCAAACAAGACCTTATCTAATCTGAGGCATTACAATGTTTTTTGTTTGCATGTTTGTTTGTTTTTACAGTGCTGGGAATTAAACCCAGAGCCTCCTGTAGTTTAGACAAGAGCTGTACCACTGACCTACACATATCTCAGCCCCTTTTTGTCTCCTCTTTTGAGGTCAGGTCTTGCTGTATTGCCCAGGCAGGCCCTGAAGCTCTGATGCTCCTACATCAGCCACTCAAACAACTGGGATTACAAGTGTGCGCGCCACCACACCTAGTTATTTTAAAAGGCTTCGATACATCTGTTATAGTTCATGTTGCTTTTTCTACTTAGCCTATCATAGTTACCCTCCCTTTTTGTTTGCGTGGGTGCCCAGTACAAGATGACTTACAGATGTAAATACCTGCCCAGTCCTTGTAGGGCTGATCCAGAATCTAACCAGCAACTTTCTCACAAGCAGTAGACAGAGGTTGTTCAAGAAAAGAGAACCTGAACCTGGTCAAACAACTAATCCAAGGGTCAGGTTATTGGAACAGAGAAACTAGAGGAACACAGCCCAGTGTAGTGGTGCACATCTATAATCCCAGCAGTCAGGAGGCTGAGACAAAAGGATCGCCATGATTTTGAGGCCACCTAGGTTACACAGTGAGTCCAAGGCCAACTTGAACTACATAGTGGGACCCGTCTCAAAAAAAAAAAAAAAAGTAGGAAATACTAACTTGTGTCACAGAAACACAGTCAGCCAAATCTGGAGAACAGGCAACTTTACATGGCAGAGAATTTAGATTCTTTCCTGAATTAATGGGTGGGGGAGATGGTGAAGGTGATGAGTAAAAACTGCAAGAGAAAGAGAGAGGGTGGGGGCGCTGGAGCTCTGACTCGGTTGGTATGTTTCAAGAAGACTTAGTGATATTGTAGTTATGGTTTTTAAGACATATTCTTAGCAATTAGTTATGTACTAAAATAATAATATGAGCTAGCTGGGGTTGGCTTTACAATAATCTGGCTAATATTAATTCCAGGGGGAGAAAGGTGGGCGACATATGATTTGGCCATGTGTTGAAACAAACATTCACTATATTATTCTCTCCACAATTAAAGCTTAAAAATTTACTAAACTGATCTATATGTGGTACAAACAAAGTCATGTAGAAGATACTAGTAATGATAGTATTAAAAATAGTCAAAATATAAAAAATAAATACATTTTATTCTCTCTCTCTTTCTCTCTTTTGAGACAGGGTCTCACTATGTAGCTAGGCTGGATTCAGACTCAGTGATCTGCCTGCCTCAGCCTCCCAAGTGCTAGGACCACAGCCATGCATCACATCTGGCTAAGAGTTTTCTTTTGTAAGCAGGGAACTTAAAGACCACTGTAGTAATAAAAGCTGAGTTTCTGATAGAAAACATTTTCATTCAGAGCATTTTCACAAGTGTGTAAAATGATTTATAATAATATTTTATTTTATTTTACTTTTAGATAGAGTCACTATGTTATTCAGGCTCATCTTGAACTGATTATGTCCAGCCAGGCTGGTCTTAAACTTAAGGCAAAATCCTCCTGCCTCAGCTTCCCCAGTGCTGAGATTACAGGCATGTGCTGCCACACTTAGCTGTAAGTTTTGTTGTTGTTTTGCTGTGTTGGGAGGGTTTTTTTCTTTTTTCTTTTTTTCCTTGACACAAGGTCTTGCTACATAGTGCAGGCTGATCTTGACCTCACTATGTAGTCCAGACTGGCCTCAGACTTCAAACTTCTGGCAATCCTCCTGCCTCAGCTTCTTAACATGTGCTACCATGTCCAGCCGAGCTGTAATGTCTTACACATTTTACTTACTTTCTAACTTCCTTTTCAGTCACCGTTCATTAGGCCTATGCAAAGTATCTTCCTAATAAGGTGAATCATGGAAACTTCTACCTGGCAAAATATACCTTGGTATTTGGCATAATAAAACAATGTTCAAAAACTGTTTAGGGTCACAAACTTCAACCTTCTCATGGTATAAATAGGCCTCTTCCACCTGGATAATTCTGGGTGGTCCGATTTTGGAGAGAGAGTAATTCAACCCGAAGTGGATACTCAGCAAGGTTCTTTGTCTTTGTCTCTATAAAAACTAAAAAACGTAGAGGGGTGTGTTTCTACACACCTGTAATCACAGCTACTGAGGAGGCTGAAGCTAGAGGACTCCAAGTTTGATCCTAGCCTTGGCAACTTAGTAAGGCCCTGTCTCAAAATTAAAATATAAAATGAAAAGGCTCAGTGGTAGAGCATCCCCGGGGTTCAATCCCCAGCACTGCCAGGTAAAACCAACAAAGCAAAATGACACAAACAAAGGAAAAAAGCACAACACAACAGCAGACCTGACCAGTGTTAGCAGAAAAACACGCAAGCACTTACTTGGGAAACCACCTGGCATGTTCCTGCCAGGGGTCATCCCCTTCTTCCTAGTTTCCTAAGCATCCGCTGCAGGAGAAGCACTGCACGGTGTCCCTGTGACCTGTGGACACAGGACAGCGGCTCAGGGGCCAGCAGCGGCCCTGAGGGGCTCCCGGAGGTGACAGCTCTCCTCAGGGCCCAGCTGCCCCGCGTGCTGTTCCTCCAGGAGCGCTTGGCCACCCGGTCAGCCCTGCTGCGCCCCGCGAGCCCCCGCCTGCGCACATCCAGTCCACTGAGCTCCGCAGCTGCAAACCCTCGCTGTTAGTTTCTCCACGCTGCTTCTGTAAAATGCAGGCCCTTTTTTTGATTCTTGGTGAAAACAAAAACTGAAAGATCTCTGAATCTTGATGAAAACAACTCTGACTTGGGAAAGAAAGGGGCAAATGGTGCGGAATTAGAGTTCATCCGTGCCTCGCATGAAGCAGCCGCTCAGTAAGCCACGGTCGCTCTTAGGAAGCCTCGGTCTCCTGTCACCATCCATGGTGAGGCCAAGACATCAACACACAGGCGCCGGGACGGAGTTCAGCGGCACACGCACCTGCCTGGCAATTGTGACATTGTGTTCGATCCCCTGTACCGAGAGAGACAGAGACAGACAGAGAGACAGAGATACAGAGACAGAGAGATTGATTTTAAAAAACCTTCAAAACCTGTAGGAATTTTAAAAATCAAAGAAAGCTTATGTGAGAGCAGTGAAGAGCTCCTCATTCATGAGGAGACTGGATTGAACAGCAGTATTAGGGCCTAAAGAACACAGTCTGTGTCACCGAAGGACCCTATATATGGAAAGATAGTCTTCTAGTTTTATATACCTTTGACGAAGTAACACAAGGTGCACAAAACATCAAGAAAAATTACTGAAGTGGAATTTTGGGGGGGGTTGCTTGCTTTTTTTTGTTTGTTTATTTATTTATTTATTGAGTCAGGGTCATGCTGTGTAGTCCAGGCTGGCTTTTAACTCACTGTGTAGCCCAGACTGGCTTAAAATTCTGGGCAATCCTCCTGTTTCAGCCTTGCAAGTGCAGGATTACAGGCCTGTACCACCACACTCTGCTTGAAGCAGAATTTTAACAAAACAGATTTTTGTCTAATATAACACATTGAACAAGCAACGAAGGATTCACAAAGCAGCTCAAGAGCAACCAAAGCATGGAACCTCAAGTTAAAACTTGGGGAGAAGCCCTGTAGGAGATGATTTCAAGTTACCTGTAAAGACCAAGCCAGAAGCTGCGAGGCCCCGCGGGGACACTGCGTGGACGCAGAAGGGCCAGTCCTGGAAGGACACGAGCCTGGCCTCCTGCTCGCGGTACCTCATCGGCCACCGCTCGGCTCCTCCACTGGGGTCTTCACCCGCACATCGTACTTGCCCATGTTTCCCACGTCCCTGCCCAGCAGGAACTGGCAGCCGGGGTGGAACTCCCTGCGATGCTCCACGGGGACCCTCCCGCAGCTGCAGCCGGAGAGGACCAAGCTGCAGCAGAAGCACTGAACCCGGACTTGGGCTTCACCCAGTGCAGTAAAAGCCTGCTGCTGCCATGTCCTGCGGCGTCCAGGAGCTGTACAGTGGCAGGTGGCGACGGTCCTCGGCCGGCGGCCTCGCTGCGCGTCTGGGGTTGCAGCCCTCGCTCATCCGCCCGCTCTCTGTGCTCCTCCTCCTGCAGCTTCAGCAAGGCCACGGCGTCCACGCCCAGGAGCGCCCACATTTCCGGGGCCAGGCCTAGTCAAACTGGAGATCCTCTTCTCCGCCTCGTCCAGGGCGCTCATTTTCTGAAACAAGAGTTAGCGTCCTTGTCAAGGAGCCACAAACGCAGGAGAAAGCTGTGCTCCAGAGCAACGGTTTGATGAAATTACTCGTTTTTAAAACGACGTTGTTCTCACTGTGTCCACTTTCCAAGCAGTAGTGCTCTGTCCCCAAGCTCAAGAGGCCCCATAATTATGGCTATAGATGCTATGCATTTCATTTTATAAACTACTTACCTAATCAAAAATTATAAAACATCATCATATTGATAAATACATAGCTCTTTGTGCTTTTGAATGGCTTCATGTGGGACACTTAGGTTGTTGCCATTTTTCTCTTCATCAACAAAGTTCAATACGCTTAAAACAAAGTCTTTGTTCTTAATCTTTATTTCCCAGGCTGCATTTCCCAAAGAATAATGACTGAGGCAGTCACACCCTTTTTGGACTCCTGGAGTTTTTTGGTTGAACTGGGGGTTGAACACAGGGCTTTTCATTGAGCTACATCCCAGGCTTTTTAATCTTTTTACTTTTGAGACAGGGTCTTGCTAAGTAGTTTAGTTGCCCAGGCCAGCCTTGAACCTGTGATCCTCCTGCCTCAGCTTCCCAGAGTGCTGGGATCACAGGTGTTCACTATCACCCCCAGCTTCTACCATATTTTTTTAATAAACAGTTCATTATACTAGAACATCTGCATCTACTATGTTCTTAATTAGGGCTGAATCTCTTGGCTGTTTCCTAAATATCTTGTACTGTTACCAAGTGAATACATAGTTGGGTAGGCTTAAATAATTGTAAAGATTCTCAGGTGAGTGTGGTAGCACATGCCTGTAATCCCCGCACTCAGAAGGCTGAGGCAGGAGGGTTGCTGCAAGTTCCAGGCCATGAGTTCAAGGCCAGCCTTAACTACATAGTGAGACCCTGTCTCAAAAAAGGCCAAAAAAAAAAAAAAAAGGATTCCCATCTTACATCACTCATTAAAATCAGATGAAGACCAGATTTTCTGCATGAAATCTTTTCTTAAAGGGTTGGGCAAGGGATGTGTTAATTCAGATATCATGTTTATTCTAACAATGTGACAATGAAAGATGATACAATACCTAAAGTTTGCTCTTAGAACGTCCAACTTTGAGTCACTCCCTACTTTTTAAATCACAACTTTATTGAGATATAATCAACATACCATAAATCACCCATTTAAAATTTATTACTTAATAGAGCTGAACGTAGTCGTAGACTTGTGCAGTCATCCCCACAATCAATTTTAAACTTATCCCTCTCCAAAGAAATGCTGTATTCATTAGCAGTAGCTTCCTATGTTTCCTACACCCACCCAGCCCTATTCCAGGACTAATGTACTCTCTATATATTTATTTTGAGCCAGATGCAAGGGCACACACTTGCAGTCCCAGCAATGAGGGGGCTGAGGCAGAAGGATCACTGCAAGTTCAAGGCCAGTGTGGTCTATATAACGAACAAGTTCAAAACAAGCCTGAACTACATGAGAGACCCTATCTCAAAAAAATCAAAAGGAAAGAAAAATTCAATAATAACAAGAAATATACTTATTGCCAACATTTCATATGAATCATACAACATGTGGTCTTTGAGGGCTGGGGATGTAGCTCAATGGCACAGTGCCTGCCTGGCAAGCGCAAGGTGCTGAGTTTGATTCTTGGTACCAGGAAAAAAAAAAAAAGGCTTTGTAATCTGAGCAAGTGCTTTGAAGACAATGCCACACAACATGTTTACCATTGTTAATCTCCTATTATTGTGTCTTGAAATTCTCTATCATTTTTCTCTTAAACAGTAATGTTTGTTTTTCCTAAACAATTGATGTCTAGGCACATTCGTTTTAACGTTAAGGGTCAGCCCGGGGTCGCACCTATTAGGTACTAGGGTAGCGTTCCTTTTTGTGGTCAAACCCTGCTCCGTTCTGTGGCTGTGTTACATTTCATCTCCCTACCTGTCCACACCGGGTTTGTTTACACTCGGGGCTGTGAACAGCGCTAAAGTGCACTCTGAGCACATGTTTCCTATGGAAGTGTCTCGCTCCTGCAGCCACAGCGGCACTGTCCCATCACATTCACCGGATGGGAACCCCCTGACTTCTCATCAGCAGGCCTGCACGCAGCAACGCGTTTGCATTCCGGCCCCAAATGCCAGTGAGGTTTTCCTGCCACTTTCAGGCTATTTTATCTTTGCCAGTACAAAGGTCCTCAGGTTCCTGGCAAGGGCAGCACCAGAACTCACCAGCCTCTTCTTCACAGCAGATTGCTTTGAAGGGACAGTAGTTTTGGCTTTTGTGTCATTACAGGGTTTATTTGCTAGTAAATTAGGAATCTATTGTGGTCTTGGACGGTATGAGGAGAGGTTGGAGCAGACAGACCACCTAACCACTCCATCAGTGGTGGTGAGCCTGTGGCGTGCTTATTGCTGTGTTGTTTTTTTAAAGACAAAACACAGTAATGTTTAAGTTGTTTTTCCTAAATTGAAACCTCAGTACTCAGATTTAATTGCAGTGCTGGCATTTTGTGATAAACAAATGGGTTTGGAGTTGTACTTTGTTTTTTATTTTTCTTTTTTTTTTAATGTTTATTTATTTTTGGTACCAGGGATCAAACTCACGATCTCATGTTTGCTAGGCAGTGCTTACACTGCTGAGCTAAATCCCTAATCCTGCTTTGTTTTTTACAGGGTCTCTCTGCATAGTTCAGGCTGAACTTGAACTCATGGTGATCCCCTTGCCTCTGCCTCCTGAGTGCTGGGACTATAGGTGTGTGCCACCATGCCCACATAGGATTGCAGGTTGGCACTCATCTTTAAAAGGTTCATCATTAAAGAGATGCAAATGTGGCTGGGGATTTAGCTCAGTGGCACAAGTGCTTGCCTGGCAAGTGTAAGGTCATGAGTTCAATCCTCAGTATAGAGAGAAAGAGAGAGAGAGAGAGGCTAACAAATGCTGGTGGGGTTATGGGGAAAAGGAACCCTTCTCCACTGCTGGTGGAAGTGTAGACTGGTATAACCACTGTGGAGATCAGTGTGGAGATTCCTCAAAAAACTAGGACTATAGGTCCCATTCAACCCAGCTATTACCCTTCTGGGTACCTTCCCAGAAGAATTAAAAAGATCATACCACAGTGATGTATGTGCACCCATGTTTATAGTAGCACAATTTGTAATAGCTAAATCTTGGAAATAACCCAAATGCCCATCAGGCGAGGAATGGGTAAAAAGAGATGTGATATTTTTATACAATGGAGCACGACTCAGTCATAAAGTTAAGCTTGAGACATCTCTAGGTAAATGGTTGCAACTCAAGACCATACTCACATGTGAAATAAATCAGACTCACATGTGTAAACATCATATGCTCCTGGTTTGAGAAACTGAAAGAGTAAATAAGGTCCAAAATTTACAATATTGTGAAATGGGAAGAACCTGTTCAATAGGAAAGAGGAACTAGTGTGGGGGAAAGAGGAAAGGAAGGAAAGGTAAAGGAAAAAAAGTACAAGATGGTTATACTACTAGTTTCTCTAGTTCATTGAAAAGAAAGGCTTGTGCTCGTACCATTTGGAAAATTTTTTACATGCATATCTTGTACTCTGCGTAACTATTTAAATATAACAATATGCAATGTGTTAACTATTGTCATTCTCCAATTATTTTGTCATTCTCCAATTTTTTCATAAAATATACTATTAAAAAACAAAAGATTCACCACAGCACTATATAAACCATCTTATGGTGATATGTTAACATTTTGCTGTGCCTCCATTTTCATGTTTTTTTCCTTCCTTTTTCATGTCATTTCCTTGTTTTATTTTGATGTGATGGGGCCTGAGGCCAGGGCTTTGCACTTGCTAGGAAAATGCTTCACCACCAAGCTACACCCCAGCCCTTTCATGCCACTCTAATTATCCATCAGAACACTTCCACCTGACTGGCTAGTCCTGACATTTTAAAATCTCTTTTATTCAACTGTTTCCTTTCTCAGGGACAGTACTGATCTCACACACGCAGAGCAGATGGGCTGTTCTTCTCCAACGGTCCCTCCACTCCTCTCCCAACATGAGGAGTGTGAGTGGTTGGAGGCCTCCTGTCACAGTGTCTCTTAGGTCAAAGATGTGAAATCAGGAGCCCTAGTAGCATGATGGAACCAGTTCAAAGGTCCTTGTTCGCATTCTTAACATTTCAGCCACCTCACTCATAGGTAAAATTAAGTGATGGATTTCCTATGCCCAGAATGTTACCTAGCTCATCCAATTTGGAATTTGCCCATCACCCGCACTTCTGCAAAAGCTGCTGTGAGTTGAAGTTCTATATTAAGACCAAGCATTCCCTTTCATTTGAAGCACCATGAGATGGTACCTAATCAAAAGGAAAGAGCTTCTTTGTCTCTGGTAAGGTTCATTATAGCAGTGGTTCTTCAGGAAGCACTCTACATCACTCCACAGTTTATATTGCTTTAAATGGTTCTTTCTGTTGTCTCGTGATGGTCTCTCCAGACAGCGAGTCTTTGGTGATCACCCATAGGAGGACAGGCAGGTCCCCATCAGACCAGCACTTTAGTAGTAGCAGGAGGAACTGTCAGGTGGGCACTCTTCCTTGCTCACTTTGTTTCCACAACACCAGCAAACATACAGGATTCTTGGCTAACTTCCTCTGAACTTAGCTATTTCCTCTGGCTTTGGAGCTACCACATTCAGGTTCTACTGAGAAGTGCTTTCTCTTAAGAAGAACTTAAGTACTTGAGTGAACTCAAACCAGCAACCAGCCTGACACCAACAGTGTGAAATATTTCTCCCTCCCAGATAAAGCCTTTGATATCATTTAACTTATAAAGTAGCAGACTGCAGGGGAAGAGAACAAGAAGTCACCAAGAAGCAAGCCCTTCCTGCAAATAGTGCCATGCATGGGCTGGCGGGGGAGAGCCAGATGCCAGCCCTTCCCAGCACACAGGCTGGGAAACAAGAACAGTCAAATAACCCCCCTCCCCCACTGTAAGCAACTGGCTGAACCAGAGAAGCACAGGCTGCAATGATGGACACTAAGGTAAAATACAACTTCATGCTTTTAGTGTTTAGTGTCTCACTGACTTTGCAGGTCTAAACCTGGTAGTCTGATCATTGATTCAAAGGATAAAAATATACAATACAGCATCTATAGGGGATCTCCTTCTGAAGGTGGTAGCCATTGTTAATTCTCACTATCTTGTTGTGAAGTTCTGTGTCACTTTCATTGCTTTGTTGGGTTGGGTTTTATTCTGTTTTGTTTGATTTTATTATATCTGATGGCTTGGGCAGCTATTTCAAGAATGACAAGATATATTATTGAAGCCATTTTATATTTGCTATTATCTTGTTTTGAAGTCCTTTATTGCATTCATTGTTTTGCTTTTGTTGGTTCTATTCTGTTCTGTTTGATTTTTATTATGTCTAAAATATTTTGAAGACAATAAGAGGTATTATGGTAACCATTGCTGATTTCCTATTGTTTTGAAGTTCTGTGTCACACTGGTTTGATTTGATTGGTTTTATTCTGTTTTATTTTGCTTGGTTTTATTCTCTTTAAAATAAAAATGTTATAAAGTAAAACATTTATTTCAATGATCCTATTCGTAGTACCATCTTCAGCAATGACAAAAGGTTGAACAATCGACAGGAACTCGTGAGGCTCTCTCGGGTACCTAAGGGTTTGATGAAGCTCCAAACTCGCGCCAGACCAAAGGAAGCACCAGGCGCAGCTTAGTTCCTGGGAGCCTTTCTTAGTCCCATGAGACCAGCTTCATCTCTAGTAACGAACCACTCTGATGTAAACTCTGATCACAGCTCCTCCAATGTGCCCTGGTCTCTCACACTTAGCCAGTGTCCCATTAATCAAGTCTTGGGACATTCATTCCACTTGGCCAGTGAATGCCCACAAAGCTGGGGCCTCCCCAAAGATAATTAAGCACAAGCTCACAGCACTCTGACTGAGATCAGTGTTGTGACAAACCTTGGTGGCCAGTTTTGCTAGTCCTGGGACCATTTCCAGGGAGAAAAGATGATTTTTGGAGGCCCTTTCCAGACCTGATGTTCTTTGACTAAAAGTATTAAGAACACCAACAGGGAAAATATGTCACAGAGCTAGGATTTAAACCCACGTCTATGATCCCAGGGTCTGTCCTGCCTCTTCCCCACCAGGCTGCCTCCAAAGAGAGAAACAAGAACACACACAGACAGAAGAGCCAGGATTGTGCAGAAGTCAGAGCCCAGTGCTTTCTTGGAGGAGGCTGAAGCAGCAGCTGTAACCCCTGGCCTTTGGGATCAGGGGGTCACCATGGGGCTCTGAGGCCACACAGCCCCCTCACTTCTTGTGAACAGCGTGGACTTGCTGGCCAGACAGGTGGCCTGCCTTCCGGAGCAGCCAGTAAAGGTGGGCAGGGCTGCCACTGTGATCCCCTTGACAGGGCCTTGCAAACATTTAAGGATCAAGTGTTAGAAACCTGGACTGCATTTCTGTGCCGGTTATGAACTGCAGCAGGATCACTATCTGAGAAGGTGTTCTGCCCTTTCCAGGGGTTCTTTGGGGTTCACATGTTAGGGTCACTGCATGTGTTCCCGCCTTCCCACAGGGGGGTGCACAGAAGGGTGGGACCTTCAATGCCAGAGGCACCACACCTCTCCAGTAGGCTTGTGCAGCAAGAGTCAGGCCTCAGGGAGCCATGGGCTCTTTCTTCTGCACAGGGCAGAGTTGAGCCTGGGTCCCCATCACTTCCTAACACAGGGCGGATCCTTGGAGCACTCAGGAGGAAACTGGAGCCCTTTTCTCAAATGATTGTTTCTTGTGAAGGGCTGGAATGTCTTTTTTGATTACAGACACTATAGACGCTTAGAGCAAAAGCCTGTACTGTCAATCCCTAGACAGCGATGCAGCCATATCTGCAGCCTGATCTATGTGTGCACTCTGAGTCCTCCGAAAGCCATGAGCCTCTTCCACATCTGCACTGTGTGGCAGGGCACTGGTGACATTACAGAGCCTCTCTACCCAGGAATCTGTGCTGACAGTTTCACCGGCACAGCAGAGGTGCCCAGGAAGTGTCACCATGCATAAAGGCTGTAACTGCTCACCTCGGCTGTGTTCACAGACACCAAATAGGGCTCACCGCGCGGCTGCTTAGGTGCACCTGCCAAATGCTGGCTCCCTGCTCTCTGGCAGCGCCAGCTCTCCCGTGGTTTTACCAGGCTACGGGTTTTGACCAAGCTGGATTGTGAAATCTCTTTTGAAACTCATTTTCAAAGTTATGCATGAAGCAGAGCATTTATGGTCTTTGCCCATTTGTATCCCTTGCCTGCATTTACATTACGCATTTCCCCTTGTAGATCTCAACACGTCCTGATGGTGGCAGTGCGTCTGTGGACTCTTTCATCATTTCCCTGTAACGTAAACAGTTTTATATTTTGTACACATTCAACTTTATAATGTCCTTTAAAATATTTAAAAATACTACATGTCTGAAAAGAAAAGCTTGTGCTAATATTGTTAATATTGACAATGAAAAGCAAGTATCTCGTACTTAGAGTAACTAAAGATACCAATGGCAATGTATTAACCATTGTTACCCTCTTCTCTTGTTTTGAAATTTTATTTTTTTATCTTTAAAATTGAAAAAGAATACTAAGTGTCAGAATATTTGTATATTTGTGTCACATGACCCTTTGTGAAAATGTACGTGGCTCCTCTGCCTGGCATCCACCTGGGAACACTAAATTGTGTGTGCTTGCCTTTCTTCCAGAGCCTGCAATAGTTAACCTGCCCTTCTCTGTGCTAGCATCATTAAAGATGGCTGCCCCTTTAAAACATAAAAAAAAGAGCAGGAATGGGAAGAGCCAGTGGAGATGTGGAAGAAGCATTTCTACTCACCAATTGGACGGTCCCCAGGTCCTGGTTCCTGGAGGGAGAGCGCTGGCTGAAGAAAGAATGAGAGGGTGCATCTTAAGGGAAGATGCCCTGTGCTTCTCCGGTAACGGGAGCAGAGTTTTAGGGGAGGAACTGAAAGTGAAAACAAATGGCACATTGGAGAGGTTACTGGTACGGTCTTGAGGAAGCAGGGTCAGTCTGGACTCTACAGGAAGCATGAAACCGACCAAGTCTTGCATCACAAAGTAGAGTCCACCAAACAAATGTATACCCACTCCAGGACAAAAAATGGCACACTCTTTCCTCCACAGATGGGGTCACCCTCCTGTGAGAGACGCTAGAGGATGCCATGCATCACAGAAAACCCACTGCACCGCCGGCCCTGAGAGGAGAAATAAAAAATGTGTGTGCAGCAATCTCAGTGACTAAGGTGACACACACACGGGTTTGTTGTAGTAATAAATGTCAGGAAGCTGGTGGACACCACTGAGAGCACCTTTTGTAATTGTAGAGGCCAAAGGTAAAAAAGTAACGTACTAATCTCATGATGTCTGAATACATTTAGTATTAAAATATCTATATAAATTTTGGGCTTGGGATACAGCTCAGTGGCACAATTTGTGCGTGGCAAGAGTAAGGTCATGAGTTTGATTCTTGGTGTAAAAAAAATTATACGAGTTTTTCTTTTCCTAAAGTGTACACACATTTTTTTTTTGTCTTTTTTGTTTTATTGGTACCAGGAATCAAACTCAGACTGCACACTTGCAAGGCAGGTGCTTATGCCGCTGAGCTAAATCCCCAGCCCCGTGTACACACATTTTTTTGGTGAACTCTATTTGTTCTGAAGTTGGTAAAGATTGGTTGTTATGTTGTTGGTGTGTTTTTCTTTGATGGTGACAAGTTTCTACTCTGGTATCTTTTAGGATTTTCTTTTTAACTGTGAAGTTATAAAATTCCCAAATATTGTGTCTAGGTATAAGGTTTTTGTTTGTTTTGTTTTGTTTGAATCAGGGTCTTATTATGTAGTTTAGGCTACCCTTGAAGTCATCATGTGGGGGGGAGTAAAATTTATAGAGATCCTCCTGCCTCAGTCTCTCAAGTCACCTATCATTTCTTTGCCAATTTGCCTTTTTTGGGGGGTATTCTCACTTGTTAGGTGGGAATTTAGTCGGTCACTTAGGTTCTTTTTTTCCTCACATATATTCTTAGTGGTTTTGCCCTAATTACTGGATTTCCTCTTTTATTTTCCAATATTTCAATATTTTAAAATTTTATCAATTTCCCACAGTTCTCATCTTCTTTTCCATTTTTTCACATCTAATTTTTCTTATCCAATACAAACTTCTTGAATGTTTCATATGATACTAGCTCCTTTATTTGCTGAATTATCTATTTCTTCCATGATTGGTATAATTTACCTTGATGTTTATTTTTCCCATTACCAGATATCTTCAAGTGTGTAGAGATCCTTAATTTTCCATTCATGTTTAAGAAGTGGAAAATTTAAAAGCAAACTGGGGCTGAGCATTATGGCACAAGCCGGAGGATGACTGTGTATTTGAAGCCAGTCTGGGCTACAAAGTGCCTGAACTGAACAGTGAAACCCTGTCTCAAAAACTAAAATAAAATAGCAAATTGGTTATAATAATTGTTTAAAGAGTCTAACGAGGGAGGGGCTGGGGATTTAGCTCAGTGGCATAAGTGCCTGCCTAGCAAGCGCAAGGTCTTGAGTTCAATCCCCAGTACCACAAAAAAAAAAAAAAAAAAAAAGAAGAATCAAATGAGGGGGAGTAGCTTACTGGTAGAGTACTTGCCTAGCATAGATGTACTGGATTTGATCCCAGCATCAGGGAAAACACCAAATTAGGAACTACATAAATGTGATGTGAATGTTGGCCTTTCAGTTTAGAAAGAATAAATCAGGAAGCCAAGATTTAGCCTCAAGAAGACTAGGTGTCAGAGAAGCACCTCAGAAAATGATCAGGTTATCTGGAAAGATAAAGATAGCAGCTGAAAGCTCACCTGGGACAGTCCTTTGGCATGGAAAGGCTGTGCCCTTTACTTGTCAGAACTGTGACCGTCTAGGCAATGCCAGTATTGAATTAAACTGCAGAACATCTAGCAGGCGCCCTGTACTGCAGCATGAATACCTAGAGGGGTTGGTGAGGCTCAACACCTTGCACGGAGCTCTGCAGTGGCCTAACTTGGGTTGCCAGGTATGGAGGCAGCAATGGCACGAAGAGCAGAAAATAAGAGATGAGGGAGAAAGCTGATGTAGGGAGGAAGAGCACCAAGCTCCGTCCCTGCTCGGGCCATTTGTCGTGCCTGCGCACCACAGTGCCTCCCTGCCTCTGCCTCGTGGAGGAAGACCGCCGAGCCCTGCCCTGGCTCAGGCCACTGAGCCACTGAGTACGCCTGCGACCCAGCATGCTCCTCCAGTGTGCTGACCCAGAGGGCGCCCGCACCCACCCTGGCTCAACCCGCTGCCCTCAGCTACCCTCCCCATCTCTGAGACCAAGCACTGCTGTGAACGTTTGGTTCCCACTCTCCCTCCCAGAACCTTGAACTGCAGTGGACTGGCAGTGCTGGTTTGACAGGAGACTTGGTGACCCCTTGTCCAGACAGAGGACCCTGGAAGGTTCTGGTCACTACGTACCAAACAGTCGGGCAAATATCAACCACACAGTAGGACCCTGGGACATACACTGCCAACAGTTGTGACCATTGGGATTAAATAACCAGATATTGGCCCAGAAGATAAAAATGACAAAATGAAAAACCAAAATGCAATCTGAAACATCTAGTCCATCGGGTGCAAGAACAGGGGAGAGCGAAATGGAGGACTTTAAAAGTCATACACCAGAAATCTCTGATAAGGTAGCAAACAAAGTAAAGAAACAAATCCCTGAGGCTATAGGGGAAATCAAATTAAAAGTAATGTCTTAAGTAGCTAGGGAATAAATAGATTAAAAAAAAATACAGGAGCATGGGAAATTGATTGAAACTTTGAATGAACAATGTGGAAAACAAGCAGAATCCAGGAAACAAATTCAAAGAGATAGCCAAGAAACAAAAAATTCTATTTTTTCTATTTATTTTATTCTATCACATTGTCTCTCTAGTGTAAACAATAATAAAAACTGACAGAATAATGGGATCCAAAAAATATAATAGATAATGTGAAAGTGAAAGGGAAGGGAAGTGCTCTAAAGCATACAATGGAATGTACATTGTGTTAGATGACCATATTACTGAATTTCTGCTGGAACATTGAACAGAACGATTTGCACTGTCAATGTTGAGTGTCTAGCCACTATTTATGCTTTGATTTTGTGACTTTGGCAACTGTTTTTTAAGATGACAATGAGTAATGTATATACTAGTGATTCTATGATGATGATTTTTTTTTTTTGTCTTTTTCCTTTTTATTGGTACCGGGGATCGAACTCATGACTGCCTGCTTGCAAGGCAGGCGCTTATGCCGCTGAGCTAAATCCCCAGCCCCGATGATGATTTTTTTAATTCAGTATTGTCCTACCCTTCTTTTCTGTTTTTCTATTTTCTTTAATTTTATTTTATTTCTTTGAGAAAAAAGAGAACAATATGCAACATAACAAACATTCTTAAATTTCTTTCATTCTGTTTTGAAACCTATATTGTTATTCTTTTGAGTTTGCTATTGTTTATGTCTTTTGCTTTTTGTTTTACTTTTTTGACTTTTCTCTTTTTTAAATAAAAAAAGTAAAAGAAAATAAGGGGTGAATTGAAAATCCGTGCATGGGACAGTCACTTGGGTCTGTCTTGTCATCGGAATATTTGACATACAGGTATTACCATGAGATCAAAACATTCTTAAGAAAATTTCCCCTACTCCCACTCTCAAACTAAATATTCTGCTTTAGCAGACCTGGAGAACTAGTGTGTGCATTGGTACCCTGAATCAAAGAATTTTGGTTTAACACCGCTGACAGCCTAAACAAGTTAAGTATTATTATCTTCATCTTCCAGGTGAAGTAACTCAGGCACATGGCTCAAGATTTACCAGGCAGCCTAACCAGAGTCTGCATATTTGGCTGATACACTGTGCTGCCAAAGGGGATTTTTTCTTTTTCAAGACAGAGTCCACTATGTAGTCCAGGGTGGTCTCTAACTTGTGGCAATCATCCTGTCTCAGCCTTCCAACAGCTAGGATTACAGGTGTATACCACCAAACCAGGCAAGAGAACAATGTTTTTAAGGGTATTTTTTCCCAAATCCATTTTATTTCAAGTAGAAAAAGAAGAAAAAAACTAAAACAAAAATTCAAAACATGTCAATCAGAGGGTAATAATGGTACATACATCGCACATTGCTATACCCAAATTATTTACCCAGAGCACATTTGTGTTTAGTTGTCCAAACATTACCGGCACAAATCTTTCTCTTTAGTGTACTCAGAGAAATTTGTAGTATAACTATATGAACTATTTTTGTATAACATATACATATGCGTATGTTGTTTCTTTCAGCTTCTCACACAAATGAGGCAATACTATGTGTATCTTATTATTTCACTAATGAGTATGGTCTCAAGTTGCAGCCATATACCTATAAAGTCTCCACTTTATCCTTTTTATGGCTGAGTAGTACTCCATTGTATAAAATATCACATCTTTTTTATCCATTTCTCAGTTGGTGGGCATTTGGGTTGTTTCAAAGATGTAGCTATTACAAATTGTGCTGCTATAAACATGGGTGCATATATATCACTGTGGTATGATCTTTTTAATTCTTTTGGGAAGATGCCCAGAAGATAAATAGCTAGGTTGTACAGAACCTCTAAACCTAGTTTTTTGAGGAATCTCCACACTGATTTCCACAGTGGCTGCACCAGTCTACACTTCCACCAACAGTGGAGAAGGGTTCCTTTTTCCCCACAGCCCCTCCAGCATTTGTTATTGCTTGATTTCTTAATATTAGCCATTCTTTCTGGCATGAGATGGAATCTTAGTGTTGCCTTTACAATATAAATACTAACTGTAACATCTATTACATCTATTATCTTTTGTTACCTTGCGAACCAGCATGTGTATGTGTGTGTGTGTGTGTGTGTGTGTTTACAGGGAATATTAGTTTCTAGGCTTCAGCCAAGATTTATTAAATAAAATCTCTAAGACCAGGGATATAGCTCAGTAGCCCCACACCTGCCTGGCAAGCAAAAGGTCCTGAGTTTGATTTCCCCAACCCCTGGAGATTGAACTCACAATGTTATACTTGCCAGGCAGGCATTTATGCTGCTGAGCTAAATTCCCAGCCCCAATTTTTAAAATAATAATTTTAAAAAATAAAATCTCTAGCATGGAATTATATCATCATTACTGATAATGTCCTTCACTAAGAATTCTTATTTATAAGATCATAAACCTCATGGTGAAACTCTACCTAGAGTGACTAAAGTCTACAGATATAAAATACACAGTACACACCTTTGTTACAGAATGGAAGCGTTATTCACTCTCAACAGGGCACATCTTGAAGAGTTCTACCAACAATACAGCTGCACTGGACCTAAAAAAACAGATTTTGGGAGCTAGGGATTTAGCTCAGCGGCATAGGCACCTGCTTTGAAAGTGCCTAGTCATGAGTTCAAGCTCCGGTACCAAAACAAAAACAAAAAAACAGATCTTCTCAGCTAAATTTCCCTAGTGACCCAGCGCAGAATAATGGAAGACAATAATTAAACATTCAGTGAGGTTCAAAGAAGAAGATATCTCAACTTTGGTTTCATTTGCCTGAACTACACAAGCAAGACTCAGGTAACAACCAACCAAAATGGTGGCATTCAACATCCTGCATTCTGTATGGTATTTTAAAAGCAATCAGTGTAGCGCATAAAAGAGGCCAAAACCTTTTCCCACTGCATTGGAATTCCACTGTTGTTTAAGCATGGAAGCCCTGTGACCACGTAGAGAGAAGATGCCAGCCTTGCAGTTAAGAGACCCCTGCCTGCAAAGCTGTGTCCAGACCCCATGGCGGGAAGGGATATGCCCCTACTCCAGGTTGTGGTTCCCTTTCATCTCTTTCTTGGGAACTGGTGCCAAGCGTGGTGTGGGCTTGTGAGTTGGTGTATTAAACCTAAAAAGCCTCCTGTTGGTCACAGCCAGAGAACTTCACTTCAGATTTTATAATTGAACTCCAAATATTTTAAGTCCAAACAGAACACTCTGGAGGATGCAGCACTGCATTATTTCATATGTGTTACCATTTCATAATTATTATGTAATTTCCATCTTACAATGTGTTTTTTGTTTGTTTGGTTGGTTGTTTTTGTATCTGGCATCAAACTCACCATCCTACCCTTGCCAAGCAGGCACCTACAACTCTGAGCTTAACTCCCACCTCTTACAATGTGTTCTTAATGTCTTCTTACACTAAATTAATGAATTAAAATAAATCACAAACATTTAATGTACTTCAGTTATAATTTGCACATAGTAATGCACAAGGACTTTGAACACATGACTCTAAATAATACAAAATTCACTGAATGAAATACTATTGAATTCTAGGCATTTTGTGACAAGAAAAAAATAGTTTTGTAACAAAAGGTTGTTTTTTTCTTGCTGTGTAGTTCAGGCTGGCCTTGAGTTCACTATGCAGCTCAGGGTGGCCTCAAACTCACAGCTATCTTCCTGCCTCAGCTTCCCAAGTGCTGGGATTATAGGTATGTGCCAACACACCCAGCCACAAAAAAGTTTCTTATATCAGATTTTTCTCTTAAACTGTTCTTCATGTTTTAATTGGAGCTTTCTCTAAAGAATCACCTTATAGTTTCAAATGTTTTATTTCTTTTTCTTTTTTTTTTTTTTTGAGACAGAGTCATGCTATGTAGTTCATGGTGGCCTTGAACTTGCTATGTAACCCAGGCTGGCCTCAAACTCAATGATCCTTCTGCCTCAGCCTTCTGAGTGCTGGGATAATGGGTGTGCCCAACCCAAATTTCTTTTTGACACATTATGTATACTCATACTGGAATCAAATACCTGAAGGAATTGGAATCTTATGAATGCAGCCAAGACAACAGTGGACAGAGTCATGAACAAAAACATCACAGTCCACACAAAATACATTCTGGAACACAGTGCACACATAGACCTGCAACAGAAAGAAGCAAAAGGAATCAACCAAGATAGTGTCTAAAAGTTAAGTGAAAAAAATAAATAAAAAATAAACTGTTAAGTGAGCACAGCTAGAAGACATTTATGTTGCTTTGCTATTTATATTGGAAGCAAGCTTCCCTACCCACCTCGAGTACATATTTTCAAATCTGATGTGATTTATGTCCCCCCAACTATCCTTAGAAATAGAGAAATGACTCTGATTTGATTCCTCAAAGTCTATTTATTTATTTATTTATTTTTATTGGTACCGGAGATCAAACTCACGACTGCCTGCTTGCAAGGCAGGTTCTTATGCCGCTGAGCTAAATCCCCAGCTCCCCAAAGTCAATTTATTATAACATATTCTCAGCTACTTCATTTAAGTAACAACATAGAGGAGTCATGTGAGCACAAATCAGTGCTAGCTATCAATGTTTAGAGGTGGTCATCAGACAGATCCGAGTAAAAAGAGAAGCACAAAAATTTAACATGGGTTTAGTTCTTTTTTTAAGAGGCTTTTTTTGTTTTTTTTTTTTTGGCATCAGGAATTGAACTCGAGGTCTCAAACTTGCTAGGCAGGTGCTGCCCTGCTGAGCTGTATCTCCAGCCCTGGGTTTAGTTATTTTTAAGAGAACAACCTCACAACTGCAAAAATTATATTCCTCTTTGAACTAAGCCATTAGGCAATAGGTCAATTGACACATAGACAGTAAAAGCTCACAAGTCTATCAGCATTGCATATACAGATACCTCTGACTAGAGATAAAACTTACTCACTATATCCTAACACACAAGTAAAGATGATGTGTTGTTTTGTTTTGCTTTGTTTTAGAGAAGATCTCACTATGTAGTTCAGGCTGGCCTTTGACTCTGGGTGATCCTCAGCCTTCTAAGTGCTAATATTACAGGAATGAGCCACCACACTCAGCCAGATTATGTTCTTAGAAACTAGAAAACAAGGGTTAGGGATATGGCTCGGCAGCACAGTACCTGCCTGGCAAGCATGAGTTAGATTCCCAGTACAAAAACCAAAAAAAAACTGTAAAACAATTGAAAAAGTGATTTTAGTGAGGATAAACTACAGATGTCAAAGAGAAATGTTCTAGAGATTGAACCTTGGATCATACACATTAAGTAGGCTCTCTACCACTGAGCTATACCCCTCGTCTCAAGGACTGTAAAATTTAATAAAATTATTTTATGAAACATTCAAGTGGAATAAACAAGCAATTTTTGTTTTGTTTTGTGGGGTGCTGGTGACTGAACCCAGGATCTTAAAATACATACTGAACATGAGCTTTACAACTGAGCTACACTGCTAGCCTCAAACAAGTAATACTGCTAATTAACACTTGATAGACTTTGTATTTTTAAATATGGAAATGTCACTAAATATTAAAAATAGACATGACATTTGCATTTATGTAACTTTATATAATCACACTGACTACTTTCAAAAACTTCTTTTTAAGCTCTGCCATGGTTGCTTGACATGGAGCCTCGCTGTGTGGCTCAGGCCCATGAACTCCATCTCAGTCAGGCCCCTGACTGGCTGGGACTACAGGCAGGCACCACTAGCCTGGCTCTGTATTAAAAATTTTTAAAAATGCTTCCTAATACTAACAATTTTTATCTGTGGCCACCTTAAATGATAACTTCCAAAGGAGTCACAATGGGGCCAGGGCTGGGCTGTAGCTCAGTAGTAGACGACTTGCCTAGTGTGGGTTAGGCCCTGGTTCTACCCCCTAGTAATAAAAGCAAAACAAACACTTTAAATAAACAAAAGCAGTTAGTTTAAAAACAGAAGACAAAGCACTAAATGTCTTCATACCAAAATCAGAATGTAGAATTACAAAACTACTATTTAGATTATTTTTCCCCCATTTTATGTCTACTAATTAGTATATAACTATTTATAGAAAATAAGCTGATGTAAGCCTGGTCTTCAACAACCTCCAGAAAACTTATTATAATATTATTTTCTTATGCATAGCTTATTATTAGAAAGTCAAGACTCACATGTTGGTCCTTCAGTTGCCCCTGACATCCATAACAAAATCTGAAAAAGAAAGTTTGAGAATCATTTTTTAAAAAAGAATTCACTAGTTAAAATGATGTAACCAAGTTGGAGTAACTAGAATCCCTTACTAATTACTTCTATACCAAACTTTGGCAGAAAGAGTTAAGAATGCCAACAGTTTCTTAAAATTCTACAGTATGTTGGCTGTATGTGTCAATTGACCTACAGCCCAAAATGTAGTTTTTTTTTCATTAAGGTTAAATATGCATATACTTCCTAATTGGGGTTGTAGAAGAGAATTAAGCCCTACAGAAAATGATTTACTATTTTTAACTCTCCTATACTTAGTAGATACAATCCTAGATGAACAGAAGACACGTTAACTTCTTACACAGAATGGGGGCCTAATGGTTTTACTTTCTTTCTTTTCAAATTTTTGTTTGTTTTCTGGCTGGTTTTTGATATAGGGTCTCTCCAGGTAGTTCAGGGTGGCCTTAAACTTGTGGCAACCTTCCTTCCTCAGTCTCCTGAGTGCTGCAGGTGTGCATCCTCAAGGCTGGCAGTCTCACTTTCAAGGAACACTATAAAGACCTGGGACTCGGGGTTCAGTGCAGTGCACGCCAATTATATATGAGGCCCTGGCTTGATTCTACCCCAGAACTCTCAAAAAAACAAAGTTCTCTGTTTATTACTGAAAACAGCAATTCCCTGGCTCCTCCCCATTTCATTCCCAGCTCCCAGAGGCACTTTCAAAACTTTTAACCTTGTGCCAAGTGGGGTGGTGCATGCCTATAATCCCAACACTGAAGCAGGAGGACTGCCGTGAGTTTGGGCCAGTGAGTTTAAGGTCAGCCTGAGTTATAGAGTGATACCCTGTCTCAAAAATCCACAAACATGGAATTAAAAAAAACTAAACGAAAGGAAACTAAACTTGTAACTGTGATATTTACTTATGCTTATATAAGTGCTAACTTCTGCTCTGTGAATACTGGCTCTGAGCCTCCAACCATGGAAGATGAGAACTTAATTCCTTCAGACTTCTTGGACTAACAGTGCATACGTGTAAACTAATGTCATGCTCATCCTTCTCTGTAAGTCTTTTTTTTTTTTTTGAGACAGGGTCTCACTCTATAGCTCAGGCTGGCCTTGAACTCACAGCAGTTCTCCTGCTGCATTACAGGCATGCACCACCACACCTGCCTGAACTGTAATATATTTTCACTCCAAAGTCTGAACACTGAAATTCTCTGTTAGCATTCAATATTGTTGATGAAAAGCCGAGCAATTTTAATCCCAGATCCTTGACATATGACCTAATTTTTCTCCTCTGGAAATGTTTAGGGTATTTCACTACATATTTGGAAATTATACAGTTATATACTTTAGCGTGGATCTGGTTTTTTTCAATAAATTAACCACTTGACAGTCCTCTTTGACCAAGAAAATACTATTCTTCAATAGTAGAAAACTTCCTTAAACTATTTATTTGATGATCTCCTATTCTATATTTTCTCTTTTCTTTCTTTCTCACATATTCCTATACTGGACATTCTTGAAAAATCTACCAGTTTGGATTTTTTTGGTTTTTTACCTTTATTGGGTTCTTCATTTTATGCCATGTATTTTACTTCTTGGAATGTTTCTTCAATTCTATCTTTAAATCTGTCTACCTCAATCATAAGTAAATAAATAAATGCAAGTTAAAACAATAAGATTTTTTTTAAAAAGTTGGCCAATATAAAAAATTTCATAATCCTAATACTGTTCAAGTTTAAGCAAACAACAAATGAAACCTCCTTAAAGGATATCTTTACAACGTCTATTAAATCACTTGTTTTTTTTTTCCTTTTTGAGGCAGGGTCTCATTATGTAGACCAGGCTGCTCTGGAGCTTACTAGGTAGCCCAGGCTGGCCTCTAACTCATGGTGATTCTCCTGCCTCAGCCTTCCAAGTGCTGGGATTATACAGGTTTTTACCACCACAGCTGCCTTAAATTTCACATAACTTTTGATTCAGCTGTTCTACCTCTAAGAATTTGTCATGCATTTATACATATACAAAGTTAAAGTTATTAACATTATTTGTTAATATCAACTGATTGGGGCTGGGGATTTAGCTCAGTGGCACAAGCTCCTGCCTTGCAAGCATGTGGTACCGATTTAAAAAAAAAAGAACTGATTATATAAAACATGATAATATCTACATACACAATTTCGAAAAATATTCCTCTAAGTGTGCTTATATGAAACGATTTCCAAATGATTTTTCCGTTCTTATTTTTTGGGTCACAATTTTCTATTTAACCCAGACTGGCCTGGAACTCAAGATCCTTGTGCTTCAGTCTCCTAATTGCTAGGATTATGGCATGAACTATCATACAGTACATCACTCTCACTATGAAGGCTTCAGTACATCACTCTCACTATGAAGAGGTGAAAGTAAGGAAATTAACAATTTCTGGAGACACAGATGTGTTTAAAATGAGTTATTTCATTCATAAACAAGGATCCTCCCTGATTAAACCCAGGGGTATTCTACTGCAAATCACATCCCCATCCCTTTTGTTAAACTTTGAGACAGGATCTAAGTTGGTCAGGCTTTCCTTGAACTTGCAATCCACCTGCCTCAGCAGTCTCTACAGCTGTGTTACAGGTATACACCACTAGGTCCAGCTGTGTCTCATTTTCTATATCAGAAGTAATCTTACTCAAGTTAATAACTATTTTTTAAAAGGCAATGACAATCTACTCAAACATTAGTTCGCCATTATGAAGAGATATAAATAAATCAAAACTCATACCTTTCCCCTTTATATTCTTCTAGGGGAATTTCTTGAAAAGCATCCAAGGGAAATAAATGATGATACGACCACACCAAGTGGGGAGCAGAGACCAAAGTAAGACCTAACATACAAACAGAAGCATGTTTAATCAACCACACCTCATAGAGACAACAGCTAAGCAGCCAAATCTGTAACTCAGCTTAAGCACTTGCAAGTGTTTTTAGGGGAGTTTTGTTTTTTGCAGCGCTGAAGGCTGAAGCCAGGCCGTGCTGCAGGCTTGCCAGCCCTTCCACTGCTGAACTCCTTCCCTGGAGAGTGAGCGGCATCTGTTGCTGCTCGGTGCTCAGTTTCCTTGGGCCACAGGCGTGTCCAGGGGTGAGTAAGCTCTGTCACTACACATATTACCTCTCTAGGCCTAGTTGCTTACTTGTAAATGAAATAGACTTTATATATTATGTTTATTCTTGGTAATGTAGTACTGGACATTCAATTTAAAAAGTAATCTACTTCTCTTTGCAAAAAGTAAAGCCACACCAGGCCTGATGACACACACCTGTAATTCAACACTCCAGGAGGCTCAGCCAAACACTTTGCAAGTTTGAGCCCAGCATGGGCAACTTAGTCAGACGTTGTCTCACAAGTATAAAAAGGGCTGGGGATGCAGCTCAGAGCAGAGAGTGGGTACTGGGATCAAGCCTCAGTACCACACACACACACACACACACACACACACACACACACACACAAATACATACATACATATACACATAAATACCCAGAAACCTAGGTAGAATTCAACATTTACATTTTTTAACATTTATTTTTACCAGTATAATAGATAATAAATTATTTGAAATTAATTTACTAAATAATGAATAACTGGGTTCTTACCACATATTTTACATTCAACAGGAAGCTCACAGTACTTTGCCCAACACTGTGGGTAGAAATAGCCTCCTAATGCAAGTCCTGGTTCAGAACTGCTATCCAGGTGCCTGTGGGGGAAAAAATTACTTTAAAGATGATGCATATAAAGATGTAAAAAGTAAAAAAAAAAAATTTAAAATTCAAAACTAAAGAAAGTATGTTGCATTCCTGTAATCCCAGCACTTGGGAGGCTGAGGCAGGCGACTGTTGCACGTTTGAGACCAGCCTGGGCTACAAAGTGAGCCCAACACCAGCCTGAACTGCACAGTGAGATCTATCTCAAAAAAGACAAAAAAAAAAAAAAAAAAAGGAAAGAAAGAAAAAGAAAATATGTTACCTTGACTTTAAACTCTGGATTTCAAAAATTTTTAATTTTATTTGAAAATGTGTGTATCATTTAAGTGACCACATACCTCCCTCTTCCTCTTTTTTAAAAAATATTTATTGAGACAGGGTCTTGCCCAGCCTGGCCTTGAACTCTTTGATCTTCCTGCCTCAGCCTCCCCACTAGGATTACAGTTATGTGCCACCACACTTGTCTGTGTGACTATTTCCTCTAGAACAGTAAATGTAGTCCTTATTATACCTTTAATGGAAGGAGGCCTGTGACTTGGAAAAAATCACTTTCTTTTTGTTTTTTAATTATATAAAGTGCTGCAGTTCAAAGAAGGTATACTTAGTAGAAGTCCAGGTTCTATCACTTTGCCTTTCCTTAAACACCAACACACTCTTTAGTTTTCACTCCCTATATCCATTACTATTGTTTTTATGCTGAGCACAACTGAATCATCTCACATCGCTTCCTTCTTTTTAGATAGATGGTAGCAAATTATACACCTTCTCTCTTCCTTATACTAACATTTCCTGAAGATCTCACTACAGAAATATACTGTATATAGTCATTCCTTTTTATGGCTATCTAAACGGTAATTTTTTTTTTTTTTTTTTTTTTTTTTTTTTGAGACAGGGTCTCACTGTAATTCAGGCTGGGCTTGAATTCACAGTGATCTTCCTGCCTCAGCCTCTAGAGTGCTAAATTTACACATGTGTACCATCACACCCAGATCAAAAGGTAATTTTTAATTACAAGCCACATTTCAAGCCCATCTTTTAATTTATAATTTAGAGCAATGAATTTTAAGTGCTAAAAAATTACTGGTCTTTACTTACGCCATGCTGAAAGAAGGTTTTGCATCTTGATCAGCCAAAGCAGCAATGGTATGCTGAGGAAATCCTTCACAGAAAAGATAAAGTATTAATTTCTCTTACCAAGCAAAAAGCACAATTCTAGGGGTAGGAACCTAAAAATGTTTCTACCAGAGAGCCAACAAAGTTGTACAAAAGCTGTTTTCAAAAAAACAGTTGTTTTTCCATCTCTTAGGAGATATATGTGTATGCTTATTATCCTATCTGAGACTAACTGTAAACCTGTGCTACTGTAAAGAAAAAATAGAGGAATGAGGGAAAGATAGGTCTACACATGACCTCAGATTCTGAAGTTCTTACCTATATTTTCTTTTCTTCCTTTTTTTTTTTTTTTTTTTTTTTGGTACCAGAGATCAAACTCACAACTTCATACCTGCCAGGCAGGCAGTTGTGCCATTGAGCTAAACCTCCAGTTGCCTATATTTTCTTTTTGGGGGTTTTCTTTTTGCTTTGTTTTTTCCAAGGCAAGGTCTCTTGCTTTGTAGAGAGGGCTGGTCATGAGCTTGTAGTGATCCTCTTGCTTCAGCCCCAAGTGCTGGGATTATAGGTGTGTACCACCACATGCAGCATATCTATATCCTCTAATTTAATAACAACACTGTCTTTTTTGGGTGTGTGTGTGTGTGTGTGTGTGTGTGTGTGTGTGTGTGTGTTGTGCTAGGAACTGAATCCAAGGCCTTCACACTAAGCTACAACCTCATCCCTTTTTATAAATTTTGTGACAAGTCATTGTGCTAAGTCATTAAGCTGCCTCATGCTGGTCTCCAATGTGGGATTCCCCTGCCTTAGGCTTCCAGAGTGTTGGCATTACCAGTCAGTGTGTGACATAAAACATGGCCCCCAAAAAAATCCAACTCAAGTTTTAAAATAACTTAAGTAAATGAAAACAGAAAGCCTCATATGAATATGTATTTTTAAAATAACAAAATAAACACATACCCATATGAATAAGGGAGCATTCAGAACTTGAGCTGGCAGGAGGAGGACTAACATGATGCGTTAGCAATTCTTTGTAGTGGCTTTCATCTAAAATCTCATGGTACGTGCCTAACAAGAAACAAACAACAGCTTTACACATGTAAGAACACATTACAATTTCTATGTAGTCCTGTAAAAGCTTTAACATCTACAAATGCACATCTTCAAAATTAAGATTTTAGTTAAATTGTCATTTTTAAGAACTTTATCTCTAAATATCTCTAAGAACAGTAATTACAATTTGATTAAAAGCCATATTATGAAATCTTTAGAAAGTATTACACACAGTAAAATTTCTAGCTTTTCAAGAGTTATGCTTTCTCTAAACACAAACATTACTGAAATTTCCTTCCCCTTTGAGGTGATTTCTCAATGCAAAATATATTTAAGATGACTTCATATGCTAGACTATGGATATGAAATAATTTAGATTCAGTGGCTTACGACAGCCGCCTAGCTTAGTCAGTGAATCCTTACATGATGATTATGAATAGAGAGTGAACACAGTAGACATACACCTCCAGTTTCCCGAGCAAGTGCAGCGCAAACCCGAACCTCTGCCCACAGCCCAATGACGGACACTCTGATTTTAGCTGTTTTCAGGGTCTTCATCAAATCCAAGAAAAAGAAGAATTAAGAAAAGTATTTAATTAAGAATTAATGTACTTGAAAAATAATGCTCTGGACACAGTACAGAATTCTCTTTAGTGTTTTAACTTTGGGTTTTTTTGGTTTTGGGGGGCCCCAGGGATTAAGTCCAGGGTCTTTCCACTGAGCCACATTCGCAGCGCCCTTTTAAAAGTCTTATTTTTATAGCATTTAAAAAATCATTTTATCAGTACATGAATACAGTGCAAAATGTTCGTACTTTCTGTGTAGTGTACTTGTACATAAGACATTTTAATTCCTTTTTTCATCCCCTTTCACTTTCCCTTTCCTTTTTTCTTTTTGAGACAAGAGTCTCATTGTACAGTTTAGGTTGGGTTTAAACTCACTATGTAGCTCAGGCTAGCCTTAAACTCAAGGTAATCCTCCTGCCTCAGCCACCGGAGTGCTGGGATTACAGGGGCGTACAACCATGCCTGGCTCCTTCTCCCCTTAAAACAGTTTTTTTTGGTTTTGTTTTGTTTTGGGGAAACTGTTTCTTTTTGTAGTTTGGGCTGGCTTTGAACTCACTATGTGGCCTAAGCTGGCCTCAAACTCATGGCAATTCTCCTGCCTCAGCCTCCAGAGTGCTGGGATTATGGCTTGTGCCACAATGCCTGCCAAAAAAATTGTGAGATAGTGTCTCACTAAATCAGTAGGTTGCCCAGGCAAATGTACTCTCATTAAGTTATAGCAAACTGTACCCCCAAAAATGTATCTAAAAGGAACAATATTCATGCTTTATACATTCAGACTATAGAATATCTCATTTGTCTCAACATTGTAGGGAAATGAATTGAGAATGTTTTAAATACATTTTTTTTTTCTCTTTTTCAGTGCTGAGGACAGAGTTCAGGACTCGTGCATGACAGGCAAGTGCTCCTTATGTTCATTTTTCAAAAAATGAGCTATAAAGCCAGGTGCATTGGTGCACACCTGTCATCTCAGCACTTGGAAGGCTGAGGCAGGAGGACTGCTGTGAGTTCGAGGCCAGTCTGGGATACAAAGTGAGCCCAAGGCCAGCCTAAACTGCATAGAGAGACCCTGTCTCAAAAAGACTGAAAGAGGGGCTGAGGATTTAGCTCCATGGCATAAGCACCTGCCTTGCAAGTGCAAGGTCATAAGTTTGATCCCCAGTACAAAAAAACAGAAAAAAAAGAGCTATGTATTTTTTACATAATTATTCAAGGAAATACACAGAAAGTTCTCTCAAATTCTAGGGAAAGAATGATAAATGATACTGACTGAGCCCCTGACATTATGAAGCTTATAGTCCAATAGGCTTCTTTCATATGAAGTTGAACGTGTACAGTGAAAAACAAGACTATACAATAGGGTCAGCTTTAAGGTATGCACATGTGGTTTAACAATTAAATGATGACCCAATGAGGGGTGAAGCTGTGTGAGCTCTTTCTATGCTAGAAAGGGATTTCTGTCATTTTTGGAGCAAGTTTACCAGTTAATTATACGTTTTATTATTATCCTCCCCACTAACATTTGTAGATACCACTGAAGAGCTTGCTCTTATGATTTTTGTTATGTACTTATCTATCTCAAAAGTAAAAGTATTTTCTTTGGGGTTTGCTACAACCCACACAGCTGGACTTGCAGGAACCGTGTACTATTAATTTATAGATATACTATCAAACAGGTTAATAAATGTCAGTGAAGATACAATCAACTCATTATACTACACTACATGCCACTTGTGATCCCTAAACCTTTGGCAGCTCTGTACTGAGAAATGAGCCCAGGCCCTTCACACTGAGCTATATCCTCAGCCCACCTCCCACTCTCTTTCTGTGAGACAGGATCTTGCTAAGCTGCCCAGCCTGGGCTCAAATTTGCAATCCTCCTGCCTCAGCCTCTCAGGGTGCTGGAAGTATACATGCGCACTGCCACACACAGCTAGTTCTCTACTTACCCACTTTGTTATAACTGGCTTTATGGAGACTTCGGTTAACATAGTCTCATTTCAATTAATTTATTAAAAACTTCTAAACCAACTTTCAGTAAGAAATGTAAAATACTAACTTTAGAGTCTGCATGGCCATGCTTAAGGAATTATAAAGAGATGGTTCTCCATGACAGGTCATATCAATAGCTTTCTTCAAAGATGTTATGTGTTTCCTTAAATTAAATGGAACAATTTGCTTTTATCAAATGCCATTAAAAAATACCATACATACAATATGAACATGTTGGGCAACCCATTTGGGACCTCGCTTGTTTCTATTCCCCCCACCCATTTTCCCAATAAATTTTTCTATGCTTAATTTGTAAAAAAAAAAAAAAAAAAACCGAGCCAATTTTGTGTCGAGGTCTCACTGTCTCACTATGTAGTCTTGACCTTTCTGTGCAATCCAAGCTGGTCTTGATCTCAAGATCCTCCTGCCTAAGCCTCCAGAGCAGCTATGATTATAGACATGCCCACCATATCTGGCTCCAGAGGATTTTTAATCTTCATACATGTGACCTCAGTGGCACACAAAATTCCTCTACATCTGGGGTGGAAAAGTCAAGACAGGAGGGGCCAGCTCCTGCCACCATCATGTAACCATCCTGTTTGGCCCATGCTGTGCTGAGCCTGCGGCCATCCTGCCTCCATTCTGCTCGGGGCGCAGGAATACAACCCCAGGTGGTGGCCAAACTCCTCACTGTCCTGTGGTGCTGGTAGCTCATGGGTAGGCAAATGGTAAAACCAAAGTCCCTCTGCACCTGGGTGTAGCTGGACAAGGGCCATGCAGGCATAAGGCTGCTGTCAGAGACCTTTTCATCTCCCAGGAACCTGACCAAAGGCTGAAGCCAGACAAGGCCTGATGCTTAGAAACAACTACCACATGTGTCAGCACAGAACACAGAGGGCACAGAGGTCGTTGTGAGCTGCTGAAAGCTAGTTATGGCCCCACCTCTAGTGCTAGAGACCAACCCAAACTGGGGCCTTCCAGAGCCACACTTCCAACCAAGACTGTTATATTTTCTTGCAACTGAGTTTCTTGGATCAATCCATATAAATAAACCTCTTATTCCTTACAGTCATAGTGAAAAATTATTCGTAAGCACGGTGTGTCACTTCACTTATGCATTGCAAAGATGGAGAAATTGATTTAAGGTAGAGCTATTTTACAAAAAGTAAAGTGGAATTAAATGATGTCAATTTGTAGCAGCACCTATAGGTAAGAAAATAAAAATGGCCATTATTATCTTTTATGAAGTAAAATTCAGTTATGTGAGGTAAAATTCATGTTATGTAAATAGAAAAGTGGACTCAGTTAACAATAGCTATAATTCAGGCCAGGGATTTAGGTCAGTGGCAAGGTGCCTGCCTGGCAGGTGCAAGGTTCTGAGTTCAATCCCCAGTACCAAAAAAAGAAAGCTGTAATTCAGTTTTTATACATGTTGTCTTTAAATTCAATGTTTATGGATTTTATGAATGGTTTCAATAAGATTATTTTAATATTTTCAGAAAATATTGAAGACTGTACATATCTTAAAGAAACAGATTCACATTCACAGTAATACTATTCACCACTGTGCAGAACTCAGTTTAAAACAGTTAATCTTAGATTCCAAGAGTTTAATGGGAAAACAGGCATTATTAAGTTATTTCACCTAAAAGGCATACAGGAAGGTGTCATTTTACTTATGAAACACCCATAAGAACAAGGTTACACGTCTGGGTAATTAAGACAAAGTGCCTGTGTCCTGGAAAGGTAATATAACACATACCTGAGAGTTCAGTCAGTTTCTCAGCTCTTTTACTCTTAGTTACAATTAATTATTCCAATCTCAAAACAAAACAAAAAAAGATCATTAATTTAATATGACAAATTACTTCCTCTTGATAAAATTTATGTAAAATAAATTAGTATGCCTACAAAAGAAATAAGCAACACATGAGAAACTTTCCTTGTGGTATTTTGAACAAATAAATTTAGCTGAGTTTACCACCTACTGTTAAACTTTTAGTTATTTTGTTTTTTGCTAAATGTACCCAAAAAGAATATATAATCTAGATCACTTAGCAAATGATACAATGTATATCCTATTTTTTTAAAAAAAATTACTGTATATTTAGCAGCAAAATAGTTACGCAATTCTGAATTCTATCATTTATCTACATACCTGACTGATAGGATTTTGATCAAAATACTCTTCTACAAAGTACTCCAACAACTGTTCAAAGAGAACAAAAAGAAATATTACACAAGGGCAAAAAACAACCATACATACAAGTACAATTATGCTTTGATAAACCTGTTTATCAAGGATCCCTTCTGATATTGTTTTTTCTTTTTCTTTTTGTGCTGCTAGGGATGGAACCCAGGGCTCTGCACAAGCTAGGGAAGCACCTACCATTAAGCTACAATCCCAGGCCAAATGTCATTATTAAGTTATTTCACCCAAAAAGCATACAGGAAGGCTTCATTCCTTCAAACTCCCATAAGATATTTAAACTAACAGATTTTCAAGAAAATGTTTAGTTGCAAAAATATTAAATAGTAAAAACTATATTTGAAATAGAAGGTGACAAAACAATAATGACCCAGATTTTTTTAGATTTGATATTGCTTTATGGTATTGAAGACTGAATCCAAGGCCTTGGTACCAAGCTACATCCCATACCCTTTTTATTCATTTTGAGACAGGGTCTTGCTAAATCATTGAGTTGTTCAGGCTGGGCTCAAACTTGTAATCCTCCTGCTTCAGCCTCCAGCTGGGATTATAGGCGTTTCCTACCATGCCCAACTTGAATGAATTAGAAGTAAGCACAATGGCAAGCACCTTCCAATTCCAGCGGCTTAGCAAATTGAGGCAGGGGCTGGGGATACAGCTCAGCAGCACAGCAGCTGTGTGTGGCAAGTGCAAGGTCATGAGTCCAATTCCCAGTACCAAAAAAAAAAAAAAAAAAAAAGTAGAAGAAGAAAGAAAAAGGGCTGGGGATTTAGCTTAGTGTGGTGCAGCAGCTGCCTGATAAATACGAGGTC